TGATTAGACGGACAAGATTTAAATAATATATATTTGATAACTTTGTTATGCCTAATATTTTACAGGCACGATTAATTTAATTTAAACAATAAATGGTCCCCACAAATCTGTATTTTGTTCAATAACAACCTGCGGTCTCTGCATAGAATATACGTTATATTAACTACTTTAACTCTAAACAATCAATCGAGTAGGCCTACTCATAATAAAGCTACAAATTTGAATAGTCTTCTGACTACGAAGCATACAGGCAGGAGAATGTAACGGTTTCAGACTATTTTCTGAAAAGTAAACCTATTTGGTACTAAAATAAAATTGCAGGTGGTTTCCGTATGTTGTGCCGCGTAGTCTGGTAGAAACTGACCGACGTTTCAGAGGTGCTTAGTGCCTCCATCAGCAGGCTACCAGAATACCGGAAGACAGCCATCTTCATCCTCGACGTCATAAGAAATGAAATCTCAGATCACACAGGATTTTTGACGCTTGTTCGGTCTGTGACTCAGTTACTTAATTTTTGTCTGTCCATACGAACCAAAGAGGCGCTTCCGAGGAATCGTGGTAAAGTTCTACGCATTCGGACGATCCGACCGGGGGCCGCTTTACCGCCGAGGATGGAGTCCACACAGTACGCCTGGTAACGAACAAAGAGGTCGAGTGGGAACCAGAGTTGGTCCAACCTAAACTAAAGGTAAAAATCTGTGCCCCTGTCGAGGAGAGAACAGCGGGCATCGATCCCGCAGCCAATCGCTTTACTGACTGCGCTGTGCCAGCGGAACGCTGGGCACGGCGTTTCCCGTTCCCGACGACTGCATGTTGTGACAGTTTCCCTTCAAGCAGGCGCCAAATCGTGTCATATCGATCGACCAGTCCACTGCTTTGTCCCCAAGCCCTGGGATCTTGCTCCCGACTTAACTCATTGTTCCCTTGTAAAGTCCTGACGGCCAGCAAGAACCGTGAAAGAACGGTACAGGGAGGGGGGAGAATTGTAAACGAACTGTCGGCAAGGGAGAGATGTCGCGAAAGTTAGTGTGACGACGAAGGCCGCCATTTGAGCGCGCAAGGGGTGGAAGGGAGGATTTATATTGTGGGTATTATTGAAGGTGCGGGAGGGGTATGTCGGACAAGGAGGGGGGGATAGTAGCAGCTGTACTATAACCGATCTATCATGGTGTGTATCAAGTAACACGATTGGACGAGATGTGGGTCTCCCGGCGCGAGGAGGCGGGGCGAGATGCTATCATGTAACCTATCACGAGACTGCCTTTCGGCTTTGACGCCGAGGTCGGGAAAAGAGGGGAAAAAAGAGGGGGAATACTGAAAAGAAGTAGGGGCAAGGAGGGGGTGAACGCTGGAATTGTTGAGGATTTGCTGGAGGGGAAATATGGTCCTGACTAAACGTAGTAGCATAAACGTGAGACAGAGAAAGAGAGTTTCTTGAGATGCTCCCAGGAGGGTGGCAGGAAAGAAAGAAAGAAAGAAAGAAAAGTGATCTCAGCGGCGAAGGAAACGAACAAGCGCGCCGGTGTTTCTCCCCTCCACTCCGCTCTGTGCCCCGGGCCTAGCACTCCCCTCCCAACGGTTTACTTTTACAAACGCGAAGCGACACCACTGAACGAAGGGTCTCACAAAAATCTTTCTTTATTTTTTTTGTTTCCGAGTCCTGTAAGATTCCACCCTTTTCGAAACCCCCCCCCC